TTCGGCTTTAGTAAATCTGCGAAATTTTCCAACGATGCTTGGTGTCTTGGAGCTCTACGACGTCATCGACAGCATCGACGCCGGTGCCGGCGTCGCGAAGCTGCAAAACACAACGGCCTTGCAATTAAATTTATCAGTTCTGATCAAATTCGTCCTGTTATCTTGCATTTAACGGTCGGGAGTATCGCAAAGCTACACTCAGACTGAAGGGTACGGAACAACGTTGATTGATTGAAACTCACCGTTCATAAGAGACGTACGATGTACGATACGCCCTTTCCCTCCCCCGTCTCCCACATATGCACACACATAAATTGATAATTATTTTAAATCGTGTTACGCGCGCGCGTATATTGTAGCTCCTCGTTCTCTTAAACACAACGTTAACATAAGGGGACAACAATCGACAGCCGCAATGATCTCACATCTCAAGTGCGATTCGCGGTGTTCTTTTTGGGCAAGAATCCGAAAGGCCAGATCTCGCAAATGTCTCGTATAGTAGATCGCGCGCGCGCGCGCGTCTGCGTCTCTCATCGTCATTGATGTCATCAGCGAAATTTTCGGTCGACTCGCCCTTTCCCGCGTTTTCAATAATCCACCTGTTCTGCTTCTCTCTCTCTCTCTCTTTCTCTCTCTCTCTCTCTCTCTCTCTCTCTCTCTCTCTCTCTCTCTCTCTCTCTCTCTCTCTCTGCGCAACCACGGTCACAGCCTGCTCGCTCCACCGGTTCGTTAATCGGCGAAAAACACCGGGAGTGGGGGTGGGGGAAGGAGAGAGCAGTAGCAGAAGGAAGAAAAAGAGTATCCGAAAAAAAGGTGTCTTAGGCCGGGACATCAAAAGCTCTTCCACGGGGGTGACCCGCCGCGGTCCATCCCTGTCCGCAAAGGTTTTTCCCCTCCTTCTCTTTCACCGTCTCTCTCGTCCACTTCTCCCTCCTCTCACGAACCCTCTTTGCGCCCTCCCTCTTTCGTCTCTCTCTCTCTCTCTCTCTCTCTCTCTCTCTCTCTCTCTCTCTCTCTCTCTCTCTCTCTCTCTCTCTCTCTCTCTCTCTCTCTCTCTCTCTCCCCTCTCCCCCCTCTCCCCCCTCTCTCCCCCCTCTCCCCCTCCTCTCTCTCTCTCTCTCTCTCTCTCTCTTGTCTTGCTCGGCTTGCCTCGCGAAAATCCGCCGCCTTTCGTTAAAGGTGACCCGACGAAATCGTCAAGCGAGTCACACGTGCGTGCGAAAGGGTTGAAGGGGGCGGTGGGTTCGGGAGGACGAAAGAGGGAAGAGGACGAGAACGATGTGTAGACTACGGGCGAGCGGTGGCGGGGACCATCAGCCAGCACGAGGCAGGCGGCGTGGGCGCGCGCGGCCTTGCACGCACCTCGCGCGCGCGCTGTATACCACGGATGCCGCCGAAAATCCCCTAAAGCGAAGTACACGAAACAAAGGCCATCCTCCCTCTCCCCTCCCCCCTCCCCCCTCCGCGCTTTGTCCGTTGCCCGTCACATCATTCCTCCTCCCTCCGGTTTCCTCGCGTGCACGAGCGCTCGCGCGCGTATTTAGTGTATCTTTGTCTCCTTCGTCTCGCGCTTCACCTCTTTCTTTACCTTCTTTTTCCTCTTGTTTATCCGTGATAATTTTGCGAGCGTGCATTCGTGTGTGTGTGTGTGTGTGTGTGTGTCTGTCTGTCTGTCCTTCCCTTTTCGCGGATGTTTCGCACCGATAGTCGCGATCTCCACTCGCCACTCGCCACTTGCCACTCGTGTGATGAATCTCCACGGGGTTGCTGTTGCAAGAGAACGCGTTCTGTTGCGCGCGGGCTCCCAATCCCGCGGGCTCAGTTTTTGTTGGGATTCAATGTTGTGCTTCTCATTGAGCGCGCCTTGGCCGATCTACGAATAACGATCTAGGGGAATAGGCGAATCGTTGTCGCGGGGCGGATTGAAACGAAACGAAACGAAAGGAAACGCGGAACGGTGCAGCCCCCTCTCGGGCTACGTGTAGCCCGAGTCATCTTTGTTATGACGAGACCTCACACACACAATTAATGTGATTTACTGATTCCTTTAGGATTACAATTTTGCGTCGAAACTTTTAACCACTTTCATTTACTTAAAAAAAAATGTAGAACCTCTTCTAATTCTAAGCTTTTACTTACGCGCACAAACCAAACCTCTATACGATAGCAATGCTTGTGTCCACAGAGAATCAGAAAATACTTGATGCAATTTTTCTTCTTTCCTGTGTGGCAATAGTAAAAAAGAATCCTCGTCTAGGATTTCGGAGGATTTCCAAATGATAAGCTCGGGGCGTCTCGAGGCAGGCGGGGATTTGAAAAGAGACCACGTCCAGTAAACGAGATTCGATAATTACGACATTATCCGAGTCGAGGTCGATATTACGAGGTGTGTGTTATCGGTCGCCAAGTTGTCAAGTAAATTCGCGATGCCGTGTAATTGTGTGCGTATATTCTATTCTGTTCAATATATGTAAACTGTCGTCATAAATACGAAATGACGCAACATCGTTGTTGCACGTAACTGCATCGCAGGCCGCGCGGCCGATGCGTCTCGCGTGTATCGTGCACATTTCGCTCTCGGCGTGTGAGTTATTTTTATGATACACGGAGAGCACGATCGGTCGTTTGTCATACAATAATTCAAGAAGACAGTAGAACACCCGGCACCCTGCCGGGTCGGAGTCGCGCGCAACGAGAGTCGCTCCCAGTTGTTTTCGTTCCACTAAATTGACACAATCTTTCCTGTGAAAACGTTCCTTATTGATAATTTCGCGAAAATAAAATTAAGAATCACCCTAGGTGTCAAGGCGGCTCAAGCATCGGCCAGAGAGGGAGAGAGCGAGGAGAGAAAGAGAAAAAAGCTTGGAATATTTCAGATTCTGTAGCGACGCTCTTTTTACGTGTTTTGACCTGTCGATCCAACTTCCGATCCCAAAGGCAAAGTAATTGTCATATTGCATGATAAATCTGGGCTACGTCCAGAGGGGTTGATTGCGTTATTTCGAAAGCTTGTAGCGTCTTATCCTCAGACGCGTGAACGAAGGTGGATGGGTGGGTAGCTGGTTGGTTGGTTGGTTGGTTGGTTGGTTGGTTGGTTGGTTGGTTCATTCATTTATTCGTTCGTTCGTTCGTTTGTTCGTTCGTTCGTTCGTTCGTTCATTCGTTCGTTCGTTCGTTCGTTCGTTCGTTCGTTCGTTCGTTCGTTCGTTCGTTCGTTCGTTCGTTCGTTCGTTCATTCGTTCGACTTGTAGCTGCCGTTCGCCGCGTCTTCTTCAAGGTTGCTCGAAAGCTCGCCGCGGCACCGCGGCGATGAGTGGGTCGGCCTGTTGAAAAATCGATACGTACGAAAGTGAGAGTCGTTCCCTCGGTCGTTCCACCCTCCTTTTTGTTCTTCATGCTGCGCCTTCTCTTCTTACTTGCCGTTTGTTTCATTCATGTCGTCGCGGCCGCTCCGATGCATGCGAGATATACACAGCGTGTGTAATTTACGCTCGTGTTGCCCCGAATAGTGTGTCGACCGGAGCGCGAAAACAAAGACGCGTTGATTTCTCTTGCGATGATTGGAAATGGATTTTGCATAAAAAATTTGTCTCCATGTGTCGCAGCTTCACGGATAGATCACTACTAACGTGCAATCGCCGCTGATAGTAACATCTCTTTTTTCTTGCAGTTTTCTTTTTTGTGACACGGTAGAATGCCGTTCTGCTTGTTTCTCTATTATATGAAACGATGACACTCGGAACCAAATATTCATACAATCAGCGACTGAGTTGTTTTAAACAAGTTCGCTTCTAGCGTCGCATGCGTGGGTCGCGATGCACCTGTCTCTTTCTCTCTCTTTCTTTCTCTTTCTCTCTCTCTCTCTCTCTCTCTCGCGCGCGCGCGCGCACTCACTCACGCACGCACGCACGCACGCACGCACGCACGCACGCACGCACGCACGCACACGCACACGCACGCACACGCACACGCACACACACACACACACACACACACACACACACATACACACACACACACACACCCACACTGATTTTTGGTGCAGATTAGCGATGTGTTGACATTAGTTAGTGAACATGACAACTCTATGAACATAAACTGACTCTACTGTCGGCAAAGCCGTCAGCGGTAGCTCACAATTGTGATAATTTGGAGTGATGATTTCTTGGCAGAGAAAAGCATTTTAAAGCCGTTTTGCAACCAAGCGCTCTTATCGAGGAAAATTTCGTAAATGGTAGGAGCAAACAGAATACGCAAATATGAAATGTTCCTATTATCCAAACCAAGTAATGTTTATGTATGTGTACGTATGTGTACGTATAATACATATTTGAACATTGAATACATGATATGTGTCAATCGAATGCCCAATCGTTGGAGAATTTGCCTCGGAATCCCTGTCACACACACATACACACACACACACACACAGAGAGAGAGAGAGAGAGAGAGAGAGTACACACGAGTCTGCAAATTGTTTCTGGAACATTACTCTTGTTCATTTTCACGTTACACGAGAAATGTCATTTCTCTCTCGTTCGTGCACTTACAATTTGATAAGTCTGAATGCCTGACACCAATGAGTTTCAGTACATACATATATAATGAGATTAATAATAATTATAATAACAAAAATAACAAAAAAACAACAACAGCAATAGTGTAATAGTCAGTGTGCAAAGATGGTGACCCATTACGTGAGAAATGATAATGATTATAACAACTCACGGAAATAATTGTGTAGTAATATAGCAATAATAATGTAATGACAATAATGATGTGAGGTTGTTGTTCTAGGCATTAAAAGCCTGGCTAAAACGAGGGAGAGAGAGAGGGGAGAGAGAGAGGGGAGAGAGAGAGAGAGGGGAGAGAGAGAGGGGGGGGGAGGGAGAGAGAGAGAGAGAGAGAGAGAGAGAGAGAGAGAGAGAGAGAGAGAGAGGTTACAATAGTATACATGATATAATGATATATTAGAAGAATAATATATAATTATAATAAAACGAGATTTGCGTGCGGCCTGTCGACGAACGATCCAGTCGCTAAGTGACAACATCGCGAACCAATGTAAACAATCGACGACTTCTCGCTAGGTTACGGCTCGCGCAGCTTTCAAAGTTTATTAGTTATTATGGCTGAGATCTTGCCTACCCCACTGCCGCGTGTAATCCTGTTAATCGGGAGTTGCGCTCGAGTCTGGCACTTACATGGTCAATCTCTTCGTTCGCTTACAGTCATTACTTCTCTCGGATCATTCCAATCTAGGCAGCAAAATGAATGGACGCGTCGATTCCGATGAGTATGAGAGCATTAGGTATTTAACATCTACTACTAGCTAAGTGTCAAGTATTATCTATAATATAATCGCGCATTACATAGAGTTTGAATCGCTCGGATAAATATTTAGATGTTCACGTCGATATCGCACATCATCATGCGTTACATTTTTGTCTTGCTTGTGTCCGCACGCGCGCGTCACGTGTATAATATCATACGCACATGCATGCACACCCATACATACACGACGACCGAACCGGCTTAACGGGGTAAGTGCGTAAGTTCGCACAAGAGCCGGTTATAAATCTTCATAATAAATTGTATTTCTGTAACACAATTAACTGTTGTGTTGTCGATCCAAATTCGATCTGTCTTGCCAGCGATACGACACAGCGGACAGCGGACCGTTTGATGAAAATTGAGACAATTACAAGTGAGCAAACGCTCAGCTCGCGCGAGTGCGCGAGTGCGCGAGTGTAAAATATATGTCAATCGCCCGAACTTTACTTCCTCCGAAAATCTCCGTAAATCCTTTTTTGCAGCGAGACAGACGAGAACACGACTACTAAGCCTAATCTCGGCCGTTACTTTTCTGTTTTCAGCAGCAGCGGCACCGCCAAGATCTTAGTGAGCAATTTGCCGCCCCAGGTCCGATTGGAGGATCTCGATCAGCTCTTCTCCAACTACGGCCAGATACAGCACAGCGAGAAAGTGCCGACGCGAGACTCCAATACGCAGACCGTTTTCGTCATCTATGAGACGCAAGACCAGGCACAACAGTGAGTATATCCCGGCGCGGCGCGGGCCGGCTGCTTTCTCGCGCACGGTCGCTCGGTGATTAATTATTCGCGGCGGGCCAGCGTTTTTGTTCGTCGCGCGAGAGATCGCCGCGAATGTTCGTCGTGTCACCGGTGCGTGAATTCGCGCGCGCGCGCGACTACTAACGCTCGTGACTCGGAAGACTTGTGTGTCTCACACTGCCGTGTTATCGCCTGGTTAGCTTCTACGTTCTACGCTATGCCGAAAACTCGTCCGGACCTTTGCGGTCCGAGAGACCTGGGAATCTGAATTTCGAGTCAGATCTTACTTAGCTCTTAGCGCTGACGTTTAGCGCTTTCAATTGTCACACAGCGCTTTCGATTGTCACGTGACGTGACGAGACGTCACGTCACTGGTAGCTCTACTGGTCGCTACTGTAATCGGTAATCGGCTCGGCGATTCGACGATCGTTCACGTCACGATTCTGTCGTCTAACGTCTCGTCGTTGTAGATCCGTCGTTTAAATCCGAGAGACAACGATTACCGGCGTCGGGTCTGAATTTAGAATTAGATGCAAACTTCTCAATTAAATTACACGATATACATCAGGGCACGGCAAGTCACATTTCTAATCTCGTCAACGTCAATTTACTTACTTTGTACCGATATGCATGTGACATTGATTCAATAATTCCCCTCAATACGCTCTCTCGGATCGGCACTCTGCGACTCTGAATTAAAATCCAAGTAGCATCTCTCACTCGAGACAAGTTTCAAGTAGCGACTATCGATAGTCGGGATAGCTTAGATTTGACTTCTTTATTTCGTATGTGAATCACACGTGATGCACATACGTTGTATACGTTATATACAATCGCGATTCAACGTGAAAGTCAGAAAGTCACGTCTGATTCTACGAACGGACAACAAATTCGACAAATTAGACAAATATGAAATCTGAATATCTAACGACAGATTTTCGCGACAAAGACGATTATTATATTACTGTGTAACATGACGACGGTCTAAATTGTTCGATCGCACAATCTAATTCCCCACTGCCGATTTCTCTCGGAGATGAACTGACGCGCGTTTTCGCGTTTCTCATCGATCGAGCGACGAATCCGATCTTTTAGCGAGATCTCTTTGGCGACGCCATGGCGACACACGCACACACAAATGCGCTTGGCAAAGAAATTTGGCAAACATCCAATCTCCTAATCTGACAATTTCGATTCGCAGAGCTTTGAGCCAGTTGAATGGATACAATTACGAGGGCCACACGTTGAAAGTGGAGATGTCATCGGCGGAGAGCCGGCGAAGAGGCCGCAGCCAACGCAGCGGCGGCGTCGCCTTCTCCGGTTTGCCGGGTTCCGGACGACAGACCGATTTTCCGCTACGCATCCTCGTCCAGTCGGATATGGTTGGTGCGATAATTGGTCGTCAGGGCTCTACTATACGACAGATCACTCAAGTGTCGCGTGCCCGTGTCGACGTGCATCGCAAGGACAACGTCGGCTCGTTGGAGAAGGCCATTACCATTTACGGCAACCCAGACAACTGTACCAACGCTTGCAAGAAGATCTTGGAGGTGATGCAGCAAGAAGCGAACAACACGAACAAAGGGTACGACGAAGGATCGAATTCTGACGATCACGGAGCCGTGAATTCCTAGTTAGTAGATGTGCCGCGTAGAGATATGACGGTCGATCGATGTTAGTCAAACGATCTCAACGAGCTGATCCCGGCTGATCCTGTTTGTGATATCCTGACTTGTTCTCCTCTCCCGAGTTGTCTGCTGCGAGCCGCGTGCTCTTAGCCGCGAGTGACTTGGACTCGCGACCGATCGCGGTATGTTTGTATCGCAACATGCATAGATTCGTTTTCTTTATGTGAATGACGAAATTTGCCATTGAATTTGCATACTCCCTCGTCACACACGCTCCGAGTGAGCGGACGGCGGAGAGATTCTTCTCGATCAGATCGATCAGAGGTTGATCAGATCGAGGCAGGTCGAGGCGGTTCGCGCGGGTGAATTAACCGTTTATGGGCCGCCCTAAGTGGAAAGCGAGCCAAGATGTTGCACTTCTGTCCGAGTCAAGTCGGTGATTTATCTTTGATTTATATCGTTAGACCGCGGACGGAAGATATATTCCCGTCGCAGTGCGTGATTAATTTCTGTCTTGTCTTTCTGTCTTCTCACACAGTGAGATTACCCTCAAGATCTTAGCGCACAACAATCTCATCGGGCGAATTATCGGCAAGGGTGGAAACACAATCAAGAGAATCATGCAGGACACTGACACGAAGATCACTGTCAGCAGCATCAACGACATTAACAGCTTCAATCTGGAGCGTATAATCACTGTTAAGGGCACAATCGAGAACATGAGCAAGGCCGAGTCCATGATCTCCAGCAAACTGCGCCAAAGTTACGAGAACGACCTGCAAGCCATGGCCGTGAGTTTTGGTAGCTACGCGCTACGTTATCTCCCTCTTCCTTCAGTCCTCGTGTATGTCGTGTGTAATCCTCCCTGTTTCGTCCCTGCACGCCATACACACACACACACACACACAGTCCTCACAGGGACTGTTCGCGCGTATAGATGTGGAATTTGCGAAAATTTAAGCCAGCAACACCCTCGAGAAGCGAGGGAGACAATCAATCCTCTAAAGTCCTCAGCGTCAATTCCAATGGCTGATGCAACTGACGAAGCTGTTCGAAGCTGAGCGGTTCACAGTCCCGAACACCCTGGAATTAATTCGCGCAATTGATTCTCGCGACGCAATTGAGTTCGCTCTTAGCGAGTCCGACACACCACCGTGAGTGAGTGAGTGATGTGAGCGCGGAGGTGTGTCCGACGCGAGATACGAATTCGATATTGACGTGTGATCGTTATTCTCACCAGCCCCAAAGTATGATGTTCCCCGGCTTGCATCCTATGGCTATGATGTCGACCGCCGGTATGGGCTACAGTTCCCGTGGGCCCGGTCTTTACGGTTCTGGGCCAGCGCCGTACCCTTATCAAAGCAGTCTGCAGACTCAGCAGGGAGTTCCTGCCAGTGACACTCAGGAGACAACTTTCCTTTACATTCCTAACAACAGTGTCGGCGCCATTATCGGCACGAAGGGCTCGCACATACGCAACATCATTAGGTTCTCCGGCGCTAGCGTGAAGATCGCACCCCTCGAGCAAGACAAGCCGGCCGAGCAGCAGACCGAGAGAAAGGTCACTATCGTGGGATCGCCAGAGTCTCAGTGGAAGGTGAGCGCGATCGACGTCACATTTCCGCGTCTCGTTCCGCGTAAGCTTACTCTCACTATGCCGCCATTTTCTCAGATAGATACGTAGATACGCGCTCGAATTCGTCTCGGCGTGCGTTCGCGCGCGTTGAGCGAACGATCAAAGCGAAGTTTGATTTGACGAGTGAAAGTTACCTCTTTTTGGATATCTTCTTTGAACGTTCTAAGAACGAAGAATATGTTCCTCTTCTCTCTCCTCCTCTCCTCCCCAGAGGGTTTATTAGTACAAACAAAACGTTCTATCGTGAACTTGCCTCTTTTAACGGCGCGGGCTCTTCGTCGTGTTTCATGTGCGGCTTTATGAATTCTTGGATACAAAACGCACACAAAGTAAAAGGAGAGACCATCGAACCATTCTTGAATGCTCGAACCTTCGATGCGGTGTCGGTATCGCCAAGTAGGCGATCGTGTCGCTTTCCGCCAGAAAGTGGGAAAGATTTCGAGTTCAAATGCCGTCGAGTACTAATCGCCGTGTAGCTTTGAGGGAAAAGTATCCAGTAACGTCGACTTGCACAAGACTACGCACAAGCTTGCACAAAGTCGTCTCTCCTCCTCCTCCTCCTCTTCCTCCTCCTCCTCCTCCTCCTCCTCCTCCTCCTCCTCCTCTCAAATGCTTACCCTGCTTTTACATTTGGGTAGATGTTGTATTTGTAAACATCAACTTGAATTCGGCAGGAATATCAAAGGAAGAAGGGCCCCGTACCGATCACACGCAACAACGGTGTGAATCGGCCCCGTTTGACCCTTCGACAACACATTTTCCTTCATCTTCTTCCTCTTCTTCTCCTTTCATATGTCGTGTACACTCCGCGGCTATAATCTGACATATAACTGTGTTCTTACAGGCTCAGTACTTGATCTTTGAGAAGATGCGCGAAGAAGGGTATGTTTCTGGTACGGAGGACGTAAGATTGACCATTGAAATTCTCGTGCCCAGCGCCCAAGTTGGCAGAATCATTGGTAAAGGCGGACAGAATGTTCGGGAATTACAGCGTGTGACTGGGAGCGTCATTAAACTGTCGGAGCAACAGGCCACTCCTCCCTCAGCTGACGAGGAGACCACCGTCCATATCATCGGCCCGTTTTTCAGCGTTCAGGTAAACTAGCTAGCTCTCTAGGTCTAAACGTTTTCCCCTCACACGAAGAAACGCACGAGAGATCGCACGTAGTATCGTCGTAGACGGCATCATTACGCCGCATCTCTCTCAGGCGTAATCGTTAATAATTCTGCATAACAAAATCATCATTCCTCATTCAAACAAAGCACGAGTCAGTTACAGAGGAAATCACAGAGGGAAAAATATGTCCTGGCGCGTCGAAAGATCCGGCTAGCCTTCACGATTATATCGTGACACGTTGTATCTGCACGTAGACAGCACGTAGACCCTCGTATGACCCTTGTCGCTCTTCCTTCGCAGTCGGCACAGAGAAGAATCCGAGCAATGGTCCTGCAGTCGGGTGCTCCCGGCGGAAGCGGCGCCGCTGGCTCGCGTGCTGGTCGTGGCAGTAGCCAAGAAGGTGCTTCCCGTTCACGACGAGACGGCAGTGCCACCTCTCAGGGCGGCACGCCCTCGCAGTCGCAGGCCAGCACTCAGCAGCCACAAGCGAGCGGCTCTCCATCTAGCCAGGAACAGCAGCCGCAGCAACAGCAACAGCAGCAGCCGCAGCCGCAGCCGCAGCCACAGCCGCAGCAATCACCGTCGCAGCAACAACCGTCGCAGCAACAGCCGTCGCAGCAACAGCCGCAGCAACAGTCGCCGGCACAGCCGCCGGCGCAGACGCCTCAGTAACGTTGATGACCGACGCCGACCGACGCCAACCGACGCCACACACGCCTGTCCGTTTTATTCGCCGGAGTGGCCTCGTCGTCGCCTTGACATTCTCTCTCGTCGAGAGGCTGAGCTTATCGCACACCACCACCACCTCCTCTTCTCGCGGGGTGCGCTCTATTCCCCCGACCTTGCTCCTAATCAGGGGAGGGTTCGAACGAGAGAGAGAGAGAGAGAGAGAGAGAGAGAGAGAGAGTGCGCGGAGCGCAGATCGCGATGGGAAGACGCGCGCGCACGACAACGTTCTGTGAATTAACTCCTCGCGCTCGATGTTCGAGTAATAAAGGAATGAAAAAGAGAACGAAGGAGAGGTTTTACACCGCGCGCAGAGTGAATTGACGAGGTTCTTCGATCTTAGCTGTGCGAATTTATTCCGAGAGTTTCGGCCCGCCCGCGGTCAGCGGCCTTCCTATGTGAGCCTTCCTACCGGTGATCGTCAATTCTTAGGAACGACTCGAGGCTTCTGAATAACGAATCATGAATCGACCAAATGGAACTCTTAGGAGTTAATTCGTACAGCTATGACAGAGAGAGAGAGAGAGAGAGAGAGAGAGAGAGAGAGAGAGAGAGAGAGAGAGAGAGAGAGAGAGAGAGAGAGAGAGAGAGAGAGAGAGAAAGAGACAGACGGATAGATAGAAACGATCTAGCGCCGAGAGTTTATTCGCAGAACTCGAACGAGGTCTTTGATTCTGAAGAGAGAATTCAAGGGCTTGATTAGAAGAGTTAATTTAAAGAGTCCAACGGTGCGCCGGGCCCTCTGTTTGGCTTGACTCGCTGCGCGTCCGCCGCGATCGACCCTGTTTACCAACTCGCGCGCGTGCGCATTATCAGCGACGTTATCCGCCACGTGGTAAATGCACTCCGAATTCGCTAATCGGAATGCGAGATCTGTGGTCGATTCATCGTGATTACGGTCGATCGTGCGGTCGTTAGGTTAATGTTAGGTCGCGAAGTCGGACTCGCGACTCTCACGGGGAGAAAGAGAAGGATAAGAGAAACACGAAATGAATAGAAAGACAGACAAACCGATTATAGGGAGGAAGTTGTTGTTTCGCCATGGTGCCAAACGGAGGTACGCCCGGTGAAAATTATCTGTCCTATTCAGACAGATAAAAAAAGCAAAAAGAAAAAAGAAGAAAAACACAAAACAGCGCTTTGAATACTCGATTGTTCTCGTCGGCGAGGACCAGCGTCGTTTGCCTCTTCGCTCTGCGCACTGCGTCTCCAAGCCCTCCCCCTGCCCCCCTTCACACATACACACAAACCCCGCGCAGGCGACTCGCGCGTTCGCGTTCCGCACCCCGCGACAGCGACGAAGCGACAGGCGCGCGACCTGATTTCACAGCGCTAACGAAACCGCCGCCGCCGATGAAATAGGATAAGACGACGAGAACAAACTGATAAAGAAAGAGGATAAAATGGATGAAATCACACATACACACAACCTTATTACCTCATTGCATTACGGTTAAAGATTTAATAACGATAGAAGAAATGAAACGCGCGATAAACCGATTAATCTAAAAAAAAAAAAAGAAGTCTATATAATATTAAAGTTATTAATAATATACACAAAGAAGTTTAGTAACAATTACGTTACGTAATATGGTTATATTACGTTATACTTGTTACTACTGCAACTACTACTACCATTAATACTATTATTATTATCTACTATTACTCTATTATCGCTATATACTATTTACTTACTTATTATATAGTACACCACAGGAGGAAAGCGGTTTTTCTTAACAAAAAAAAGCAACAAAAAAACACAAGCTAGGTGCAGTTTTTTATACCGGATTTCAGAGAGACACTGGACGATTAATACGAATAAATTGAAATAATATTTCGAGACCGTGAAAACCGCGCGGAAACGGCGCGTCCGTTTCTCGGTCGTTAGACCAGAGTAAAGTCAAGATGCTTCGAGAGAAGAGGAGAAGACAAGTGGAGCCTCCCGGCGCACCCGCCCCCCCCCCCGCCCGCCAACCCGCCCCTCCTCGCACCACGTAATACCAAAGAAGAAGCGACTATGAGTTTTTTCGTATTAGTGAAGTGAGATGCGTCGTGCACGCTCGATTCGCCTCAAGTTCCTCATCAAGAGCCACGAGAGTGAGAGAGAGAGAGAGAGAGAGAGAGAGAGAGAGGGAGAGGGGTCAGACCCGTAAATTCGGGAGGGGAGAGATCGACGAACGGTCATCGGGATGTCGAGGACAGCACCGACGAGACATCAAGTCGCTTGGCACATGAGTGATGACGGCGAAGATCAGGAGAAGAGAAGAAAGAAATCGGAAGAGGAGAAAGAGAGAGAGAGAGAGAGAGAGAGAGCGAGAGAGTGTCCGCGAGAGCGTTGTATCGGATCGATAAATGCGACCGATACCGGACACTGTATCCTTTTTTATGCTAAGTCTCTGAGAAACGTTGCTGATGAAACCGTTTCGAAGACGCGGCAAGAGAGAACGACTGTCGGTCGTGTCGAAGAATAGCGAGCGAGAGAATGAGAGAGAATGGGAGAAAGCGCGAACGAAGGAAAAGGTATGCGAGAGAAAAAAAAAAGAGACAAACCGGGGTTAACGAGTCGATTGAGAAAATTTTTACTTTATCAGGAATGTAATAGTGTGTGAGTGTGCGTGTGTTGATTAATAACTATTAATTAATAAGTAATTGATTGCTAATTAGGAATTAAACAAGACAAGATGAAAGACGGACAAATTTAGGCTTAGCGACGATCGAATTTTCATGGGGGATAGGGCGAAGGGGAAGAAGGGAGCTTAGAAAGGAGAGAGCGAGAAAACGTCGACACGTAACGTCACTCGCGCTGCCGCTCACTCTCGACGCTCATCTCGCGGGTACCTCGTCTCTGACGAAGTTCGGTATTCCCGTCGAAATTCGGTAGAATGCCTCGCGCGAGAACATGTACCGATGGGTCTGCGAGTTCTGTATTCTTTGCGAATCAATCGATCATTCTGTCGAAGAAACGGCGTGCACGGTCGGACCGATTCGTCCGGTCGTGAGAAAAAGGGAGAGAGACAGAGAGAGAGAGAGAGAGTGAGAGAGAGAGAGAGAGAGAGAGAGAGAGAGAGAGAGAGAGAGAGAAGAGCGCGAGCGATTTCGATCACGCGTCTCGAGTATCGAGCGCGAGGTATACGAAAAAAAAGGTGGAGATATCAGATTTCAAGTAAAAAGTAAACCGCCCTCCCCCGCAGTGGAGTTGTTAAGTGTGACCAACAAAATTTAACAAACACCTGTCGGATTAACACAGACGGTCTTGCGTCGTCAGGCTCGATAGATCGATTTGTCGCAATTGTTGAACGAGAAGACGCGTCGCGATCAATGGAGACGAATCTCCCATGATTTCCGTTCGACAGAGATGCAAGTGCTCGAGTTTCGGATTCGATCGTCTTGAAACTTTTTTGAGACCAGCTTCTCCACTTCGATCACCAACGCATTTGCCATTCGAGATCGGAACCTATCAAGTTTGCCGACACAAAACCGAGACCGCTCCATCGGTACGTAGGGGTTTGAGCATACCGCGATGCTCCTACGCCTGGGGACACGACGGGTCCACTCTCGGGCCCGCCGGCTAACACGGCATTCAACGTGTGTTTAGTACAAAAAGAAACGCAGATAAGGGCAAAACGACTATTAAGAGGAACAGGAAGTAAAAGAAAAAAAAAGGTATAATATTGTCTTTAATTATTTTTCTTTTTTTTTTTTATTTCTTTCGGGGAAGGCTGAGAACGCGGAGTTTCTGGAACGTATCTCGCGGTTGTGCGTACAATTGATAAGATCCAGACTCTCTTCGCAGCGGGAAGCGGAGATCGCGGCCGTACGTAACCGACTCGTCGTAGTCGCGGTGGTTAATTGCGAACACGTTCAATGAACGACTGCTCGCGTCAACGTCGGTCGAATCTTGAATCTCGTCACCGATCTCAGACCTGCGACTGTGAGAACGAGACTCGCAGGATCCGGGGCCGTGTGCACGAGAGACCTGAAACGACGATGATGAGACGGATATCGGCTTGAATGACACGTATTTACTCGCCGTACTCACGACGGGGCTTTACACGTGGGGCTTTTCCCTTCCCCCGCTATGTCGCGCGAGGACGAGATGTCGGGAAGAAACGTGTGCAAACCAAGCACATTGAGTAGAGTACGACAAAGATTCGAAGGAGACGGATGATGCAAGACGAAAAGAAAAAATGAGTCTTTGTAACGAGAAGAAGAAAATGAGTCTAGATTTATTTTTGATAGATTGTTAGGAAAACTCCGACCGAATTTTTCTTTTCCAATGTCTTTTTGTTAGATGTTTTTTAATAACTTAATGAATTTTAACAATATTAAGAGCGTGAGAAGAGAAATTGAGAGGAAAAGTGTGAGAGAGGTAGGCGAGAAACATTTCTTCTTAATGTAACATAAAAGAAGAGAGAAGAGGAGGAGGAGAAGGAGGAAGAGGAGGAGGAGGAGGAGGAGGAGGAGGAGGTGGTGAGGCGCGGAGGCAAAGTGGAGTGTTTTTCGCAGGAGAAAAGATAAGTTAACGTTATAGAAAGTAAAGGAAAGGTAAAGAGAAGGGCAGGAGAGAGAGAGAGAGAGAGAGAGAGAGAGAGAGAGAGAGAGACGGAAGAAAATGGAGAAAGGATTAGAGATTAATCGAGGGACTAATCAGGGCGCGACGCGCAGCTTTTTTCGCTGCGCTCACTCGCTTTTTGGGATCGTGACGAAAAGGAGATTTTTTAGCGGGGTTAAATTTGTATAATATATTTAGTAATATATTTTTTTCGAAGATACGACGGTCGCGGCTCCGCTCGGCGAGGTCGTCGACGTCGCCTGGTACGGGAACCTCGTAGTTTTATGCGAGGAACCCCACACCTATCGTGTGTTACCTTTTACCTCGCCCGCGGTCTCGCGCCCGACACGCGATTATTTATGAAGCGTAAATATTTAAACGACGAGGGAGATAAGAAGTGATAGTGAGAGAGAAAGAGATTTGTATTAAAGCTTGCAAAGAAAAAAAATGATAAAATGAGAAATTGCGGAACGGAAGGAAGTGCCAAGAGAAACGCACGTTCGCACAGTACATGAATATGAAGTAATATGAGAAACCGACATAAAATAGCACAATGTAACAATAGATTGCAGAACAAACAGCAAAATGGAAACAGGAAAGAGAGAGAGAGAGAGAGAGAGAGAGAGAGAGAGAGAGAAAGAGAGAGAGAGAGGGGGGGAAAGTAAAAAAGAGTCAAAAAAGGAAAAATGAAAAGGAAAAATCGGGGAAACTCTCGTTTATTCTCGTAGTCGAAAGAATAATTTACGCTACTTCTCAACATCGCTTTACAATTTCCTTTTGGTCCATACATAAAAATTTCAAGTCGTTGAAGAAAGAATTGCCCGCACATAGATTCGTTGTCGCCGGGGAGAGATCCGCGAGGTATTGCAGAAACAGACACCCCAGCGGACCTCATCGAGCCGGCCTTCGACGCGGGCAACATTGCCTTCACCAGCTCCTTTTTCGGGATGTCGGTAAATTGTACGATCGAAATATTCGCTCTGGGGAGAAAAGAAGCGCGTTCGATACATTTCCGAGATTTATTTCTTTTCGCGAACATTACGGTGATCGGTTTTTCTTTTGCATTGACGTGTTTATTACCGTAATATAATCGACGTCTAACACCAATTCGGTCAAGCCGATTCGATATTTTGTATTTAAAGAAGGAGAACAAAGCGGGCACAGAAAAATAAGCTGAGATGCGATCGTTTGAGGGCGCGAACGGGAATTTTATAGTTTCCTTGCGTTTTATACCACACAGCGAAAATTATGTAGCGTTCTGTAACTGTAGCGAATCTAAATAACTTGGGAATCTCGCGTAAACATATGTAACGCGTCTTCTTCTTCTTCCCACGGACAAACAACAATCTGCTCCCGCACGCGAAGAAATCGTACCTTTCATTGGTTCATCGAGACTTGGACACGTTTCGTTCGTGGGAACTTTTTTTCGACGGATTTCAGGTCAGACGAGACAAGTATCGGGACACATTCGAATCAAAAAATGAAGTAACCGAATTGGAGGAGAAATTTACTAATGAGAACTGTTTTTCAATTGAGAGAGAGAGAGAGAGAGAGAGAGAGAGAGAGAGAGAGAGAGAGAGAGAGAGAGCGAGAGAGAGAGAGAGAGAGAGAGAGAGAGAGAGAATAGAGATTGTGAGACAACAGGTACGCAGGTACAAAGAAAGAGGCAGCCTCATTAGTTGGGAAACGAAGAAAGAGAAACGTTGTTCGGCCGATTCCTCAGCATTTGAAAAGCATTAAGAAAGAAACAAAAGTAAACAAAAAATATAAAAAAAACAAATGGAGAGAGAAAGTGAGAGACAAACCGCTCGCACGCTCGAGAGAAGAAGAAAATGTACAAATCAAACAAAAATAACAAAAATGAAAACGCGATGATCGAGTAGATAAAAAATTATTAATATTAATAATTATAACTGAAAAGTGAAAAAGATTTTTAACGTTATAAATTATTGCGCGGGCTCGCGAAAGAAAAACGCGAATTAGAAGCGAGAAGTAACTTAATCTACTGGTAGAAATACCGAAAAACAAATGTACAAAATCAAGTTATCGCTAAATGTTAGTATTCTAGAGTATTTTACCGTCGAAGAAAGCCGCGTTTTACCGATCTAGGACATAAAGAGACGAGGATTATACTAAGCGTGCAGCTTAAGCTAAAATTGTACATCCCGGCAGATTAAGAGAGTCCGAGCAGAAATGAAAGCGAGAAAGAAAAGAAATTACACAAAAAAGGAAAATCGCAGAAATTGAATGCCGTTCCGTCGGAAAAGGAGACGGGAATATATATATATATATCACATCCTAATTAATCGGAAGCACATGTGCAAATTTCAACGAGAATTAAGAAATCAATGCCGAAAGAAGCAAGAAAGAATTGCCAAAAGGGAAAATAAAGAAAGGAAGGGAGGAAAACATTTCATCTAGTTCAAACAAACCTCCCAAAACAATGAAGTACTTTATGTTTCTTCTTTACACGAATGTCCGACATCGTCGATGTTCCTCCACACGACTCTCACACGCGATAATCATCATCGAAAACATTCTCTACCTTCGCCACGTTCTTCGTACCCAACTCGCCATTCTATTCTATTGAGAAAGCACTGAGTAGAATCGCCATCCGATCCGACAGATCCGACAGATCACTATTAGATCAGTATCAACGCAACATCTCGCAACATCAGCGCGGTTGACGCTCAGTTGTGATCGAGTCAACCCAGCAGGAAAAGTCAGTTTTAAGCAAATATGCACCGCGCAACCAGACGTAAGCACGAGCAGACTGAAACAATACACACACGTACGCGAATGTGTATAAATGGGATCCGCGTCGACGATGGACTATGGATAACACACAGCTCCACGCAGCGTATCGTTACTAGTGTGAAGTCACAAGAAGTAGAAGAAGAAAAAGTGGAAGATGAGGAGGGAGTATGTATACAAAACCCGAGTCTCTCAAACAGGTACAAAAGAGACAAAATAAGAAAAGAAAAGTTAAAACGGCAAGACAAAGAAAAATAAATAAAAGGAGCGTCTATCGCGTAACAACTATGCGATTCGCACAGCATATCGGATTCTACACGAAGGGAAATAAATCAGAGGAAAAAGAAGGAAAGATGCGTGCGTGTGTGTGTGTGTGTGTGCGCGCGCGCACGCGCACACACAAATCAACACACATGCACATACGCACACACACACACACACACACACACAGAGAGAGAGAGGGAGAGAGAGAGAGAGAGAGAGAGAGAGTCGAGCGTTCTATGGTCGCTTGAGCAGGATATCTCGTTCTCATTGATCGACGCAAATTAGGACCAGTCGTAACACGATGCTAAGCGCAGACGCCCACCGGACGTCCAAAGCAAACGGAAAAAAGAAAACTACACAGACACAGAGTTCCTTCGCAACATGCTAGAATTTTCTCCACGTTTCGACGGCGGCGGCAACGAAGAGCGAAAGTTGCGCGCGCGAGGTCAACGATGCGGACAAGGTTGTGCAACGTTGTGCGTCGAGAAGACGTACGAATTGCGATTGACGATCAGAGCATGTTCCTTCTTGGGGAAGAGATCCTCGTCCGCGGGAGAAACGGAGAATTGTCGATTTGCTTGCGATCGCTCACCCCGAGATTTCGCGCGCGCGCGCGCGCGATAGAAACACGCTGTATACAAAGTAGCGCGCACAGTAGTTACATCTTCCACGTACTAGAAACAGAAAGTGGGGAGAGAAACTGAGAGAAACCAGCGCTTCTCGACCAATTATCACACGCATTATTTACCGCTATTGAGCGCAAGATATACCGATATATATATATAAGAGAAAAAAAAAATATATATATATATATATATATATGTATACCTATACGGTATGCAAAACTCGAACGATTGTTCATCGATCCCGCACCACCGCGATCGCGGTCACGAGCACAATAGTAAGGAGCTAAGAATGGCAATTCGCGTCCAGGGTCGCGCGACGCGACCCCTCTGGTACTCAAACAGGTTGCAGGATACTTCTCGTAACTGATAATAGTGATTAATGAATAATAATAATTAATAATAGCGATAAGGGACGGTTTAAGAATAATCTAACATTGGCACGCATCGTGCGTTCCCCGTTCGAAAGACCAGAACGAGGATCACGCTCGCGGTCCAAGTTTTCTTTTAAGAGGTAACTGAAAAAGATACGTGTAAAATAACCAGCAGCAACCAGAAGTGGTGAATTATTTTGGGCTTTAGTATTAATGTTTCGAGAAGGACATGGAGTAAGTATGTATCGGGTGTAGAGGATGGTGATAGGCCGCCGGAAAAAATTTTATAGTCGAGATATTCGCTTTGGATCTGTTGGCCATTTTTGCTACAGAGATCGGCAAATATTTTCCTTGGAGAAAGAGGCACAGAGAGAGAGAGAGAGAGAGAGAGTGTGTGTGTGTGTGTGTGAGTGATGGTCGAACGTCGATTCGCCTCGAGGGCATCTGGATAAAATATGAATTAAAAGTGTAATAACTCTCAATGAATGGTATTTGCTGCGTCCGATTGTTTAAACGCCGATGCAACAGTAGTATATTGTCAAAGTAGATTGACATCTTTGGCGGGATTATTGGGTCTCATCGGACTCAGTTTGGTTTGATGGGACATTTCGGGAGTGCGTTAACTTTCGTCGCATTTTGCTGGGAAACTGAGCGATGTAGCTTGCATTTTCTTTCATCGTTTTTTCCTTCTTATCCAGACACTTTAGTCGCGACTGAGACGTTCGCTTGGAAGCAAAATTGAAACGACATATTTTCGGCGCACAAAACTTTTCTGGAACCGGGCACGTGGCGGCAATCGAAGGCCTTATTGTACACAACTGGGCATTGTTGTTACTGTGACAAGTTTAAGTGATATCGCTAAACAAATGATATATCAAATAAGCTCTTAGGCGTGATACCGGTTGATAGCAACAGGAAAAGTGAGCGAGAGAGAGAGAGAGAGAGAGAGAGAGAGAGAGAGAGAGAGAGAGAGAGAGAGAGAGAGAGAGATGAACGAATGAGCAAGTATGCGAGAGTAATGTATGAAGTGAGAAAGAGAGAAAACTGTTAACGTTAGGGAAGTGAAAGAAATGAGAAAATATAAAGTAGATATAAGCCGAGTTAGAGAACTAGAATGAGAGGAGCTACAGAGTAAATAGTGAAGGAATAGGATGACGACAGGGGAGTTCGTTAAAGGGACTCTCAGTGTATTATCTATTATTATCTTATTGTTGCCAATGATGGGCATTATGATGAAGAAACGCGCGGGTATGTAACTTATTCTCTACACTACATTTACCCTCCCCCCAAGAACCGCGAGAAATATACCTATGTATACATAGTTACGCAGCGCATATACATCTATTGTACATGTATATATATATGTATATATGTATATGTGTGTGTGTGTGTGTGTGTGTGTGTGTGTGTGTGTGTGTGTGTGTGTGTGTGTGTGTGTGTGTGTGTGTGTTGTGTGTGTGTGTGTGTGTGTGTGTGTGTGTGTGAGAGAGAGAGAGAGAGAGAGAGAGAGAGAGAGAGTGTGTGTGTATATATATATATATATACACATATATATATTAAACGTAAAGCTTAAACTTATATAATTAACGTGAGGCGGATGATTAGTCAACGTGCCAGATTATGTGCAACCGGTAAATAGCCGTTCGTCGAACGGGTCGAATGAAGTGAGAGAGATAGGAGAAAAGATATGGTGAGAATATATGCGTGTCCGAAAAAGTGAAAGTACGCGTGTATAAAAGGGAGAGAGAGAGAGAGAGAGAGAGAGAGAGAGAGGGAGAGAGATGTAAGAGTAGTAAAGTCGAGCGCGCCAAATTTGTATGCAGTTTGTATGCAGCTTTGTCCGTTGGAGCATGTCTTGTCTCACTTTACTACCAAACTTTTGCGACTGATTATATACGCTAAGGAACGATTACATTGCAAAACTGACCGCATGGTGGGAAGCGATCGCGACACATTGAGCAGAGATGATTAATTAGATCGATCCATTTGCGACTTACGATCGGATGAATGCAATTTGCAAACTGTGACATTTACACGTTTGAACATTTAATCCACAATGCGGTAGATATAATCACGCGATGAAACTGCAATTTCGAATGTCGGAGCGGCGTTTGAAAAATAATGCTGCATTAACACACGACCAAATGCGATGCGACGGATCACCGAAAGAAACAACAGTAAACAGTAAAAATAAGAAATCAAATCAGACGCTGCGGATCTTTCCGAGACGAGTTGATCAAGATCCACCGTGCCGTCAGGCTCAATTCAGGGCACGATCTATCGATCGTTCCTCGCGATAGGTAATACTATCATACATAAGGCTGTTCTCACACTGCCAACATCGAGACGAGGCGGTCGAACGGACGCTGCCGGTGCGACATTTGACACAATGTGAATATCGGGACGAGATTAATAATACTAAAACCCAAAATAACCGTTTCCGGAAGAGAGACAGACGGAGAGAGAGGGAGAGAGGGAGGGAGAGAGGGAGGGAGAGAGAGGGAGAGAGAGAGAGAGAGAGAGGGAGAGAGAGAGAGAGAGAGAGAGAGAGAGAGAGAGAGAGGGTGAGATTGAGAAAGACGCACACGGAATAAGCGTTTCGCGCGTTGAAGGAAAGAAGTAAATTCTTCTTTTGCTTTGTGCACACTCCGTGTTCGCGCCAGACGGATAGATAGAGATGAAGAAATTCGCGTAATACACATTCGCTCTACCTCATAAGTTTTACAAGATTTCTACGAAATTAAGCGAGAACAGAAAACAGAGTAGAAACTAAACGAAAAGAAAAAAAAAATGAGAGAAAAGCGCATAATGCTGCCAAGCGCACAAAAAAGAAAAAAAAATAAGGAAAGAAAAGACGAAAGAAGGAGGAAAAAGGAAACAAGAAAACGAAGAAGAGAAGAATAATTGTTCGCGTTTTCCTTCCGTATTTTTATTAATCTTGGTTTTTTTATCTGTAATTCTTTATTGTCCTTTTGTTTGTCCATTCGTTTATACCGAGCGAAAAAGTAATAATTAGCTCCTAGGCAAAACGCCCGAGCGATCGGAAGCGGCGGAAGGACACACGATTCGGTCATCACAGGGGCTCTTGTTTCTTCGCTCACGCGTTACGTTCCGTCATAGTTTTCTCTTTTCTGTTTTCGTTGGTTTTTCTACATTTGGCTTTGGCGTGACACTTGTTTGTGTTATTCGTTTCTCCCATCGCCACGGTTCGCGAATGTCGTGCTATTTATCGAATCCGTTCGCTCGCTACTCACGACTTAGCTGCGGGTAGCGACGACTGTGCCGAGCATCCAACTATCTACTCGCAAGCGCAAAGTCACGCAGACGCGCGAACGCGCTTTTGTGATTTTTCCTCCTTGTAATGATCGATTACTGATTACTTTCGAGACACGGCACCTTATCAAGAAAGAAAAAGAGACCACGTTCCTTTCGCTCCCGAACGTCAAGCAGCATGCCATGCCGCCGATAATCGCTCAGACACCACTTTTAGCCCGGCAGTGGTATTCACATTTGTCTTAAGTGCTCTCCTTTATTTTAAACAATATATAGTAAGACGACTATACGACTAATGCATATCAATCATGTTCCAATTATTTTAAACAATAAATTGTAATGCAAGTACACACACACAATGCAATCGATTCTCCTCCGATCATTTGACTCCATCTATACTGCAGGCTTACTATTGCGTTCAGTTGGAAAATTTTATATCTTTCAAAAGTCTATGACGACGCCAGATAACGTTATGAAAATTGCATCGTAGATTAAGAGTCAGAAAGACGCGCACATCACCTCCTAACGAACGAACGAACGAACGATTGAGCGAACATCTGGAACATTGATTCGATGGCCTTTTTCGAGAAAGCAATCCGCAATGCTCATCGCGGAGAGATATCCGCCCGACTAGTCGCCGGCTCGATGTAAAAATTACCATCCAATTCGGGCTTGAATACCACTGCCGCGTTAACCGTGCTGCATTTCTACATTGGCATTAACGTCCAATTAACACGCACACGCGCACGCACTTACATATACAACTTACAGCAGATAGCACGAAACGCATGTTGTACATACATGTGTAGATAAAATACGTTCTGTACATACGTTGCCGCGAGTCGAAGGGGTCGGTCACGAAGAGAAGCTTTCGCGACGACCGTCGAAATTGTCCGATCGCAAATTACACGTCAGACGATTTCAACACGGGACCACTTGCGCTCTAAACGAGAGTTAACGCACGGATTTTACGCGCACACCACTATTAATCGGAAGAAATTAGAGCTACCATCGTCGTAGACGTTCCTTCGTCGTTGATCCTTGATTCAACGCTCACTCCTTACTGATACCGATTGTATCTGTGTCAATGTACGCGCGCACGCGTACATGTGTGTGTGTGTGTGTGTGTGTATGCGTGTGCGTGTGCGTGTGCGTTTGTGTGCGTGCGTGCGTGCGTGCGTGCGTATGCGTGTATGGCTGCGAGTGATCGGACTCGATATATCTATTCCGCTGTTGTCCGACGTCCGAGTTAAATCTCTGCTCGAAGACAAACTCACATTAGTCTCGTGTGGATCATTCATCATTTGAGGTCTTCTTATTTGTTGACTTCGCGACAAGACGTTTTCTAACGACATAATTTGATAAATATAGTGGTCATTCGCAAATTCAATGACAAAT